AGTCAGACCTCTCTAAAAGTGAGGGCCTACCCCAGAGGACAAGGGAGCTTCCAAATCAAGGAAGATGCCACATTTTGACTTAAAACAACTGTGTCTGCAGAGGTCAGAAGGCAGTGGGTGACATAATCAAAGAGTGGAAAGAAAAGACTGTCAACCCATAATCTAGTATCTAGCAAAAACTCTTTAAAAGTGAAAGAGAAATTTAGATTCCCAAAAAAAAAAAAACATTAAGAATTCATAGCCAGCACATCTGCCTTTTAAAACATGCTAGTGACAGTGGTTCAGGTCCAAATGAAAGGACATATGTCAGTAATTCTAATCCAAATAAAGAACAGGTCCTGGAAAACATAACTACAAAGAAAAATATAAAGACCTCTACAAAATGTATTTTTGTTTGTAAGAACTTTTTCTTCTATCTTATAAAATAGCTACATAAACCAGTATTTATAAATCTGTCTCAGTCATGTATGCATAACATGTAGTTTGAAAATAATAGCTCAAGGAGTGAGAAGGGAAGGCATTGCATTAGAGCAAAATTAATGAAATTAAGTAGGTATTAATTCCAAGTAGACTGCTGTAATTTAAATGATGAGTTTCCAGTTCAAGTACTTAAAAAGTACCTCAAAAATGTAACAAATGAAATGACAAGGAAACTAATGTTGGGGAAAAAATTATATAGAAGGAAACAGTAGTGGAGAAGTAGAGGAATGGATCTAAATTATACATGTACAGAAAGCAAATAGCACTATGGCAGGTGCAACAATAAGCATATGGCTTGTAAATAAATCAACTTCCATTTCATGGTATGGTAAAGGATAAACTCTTGCCATTTTGACGACATGAATGGATCTGGAGGGGGTTATGCTAAGTGAAATAAGTCAGAAATCATTTATAAGGGGAGTACAGAGGAACAAACCGTGGGCCAGATAAAGTCAAACCAGTAACAAACTCCAGAAACCTGGATATAGAACTGCAGTGATCAGAGAGGGAGCAGGCTGGAAGGGCACAATGGACTGTGATGGAGACTATGGATGTCTTGGGGTGCGGGGTGTTTTGGGAGCAACACCTGAAGGGGAGATCTTATACTCTAAATCATGCAATGTTGAACACCAAATTTACCTCATTACTATTATTAATTTTTTAAATGTGTCTGAATAAGAAAGTGGGTGAAATATAAAAAGCCTAGAGACACTCTCAATTCTTTTCACAGGCCAAAGGAACAGTAGAAAGATTATAGTTCTCTGTATTAATGTCAAAATCTTTCCATTAGGAAAAGTTCATTTATATATATTATTTTACAAAAGATAAGAGCATTATGATAGTTTGAAAGGTCATTAGCCTATAAGTCACTTTTATTTAATTTTATATGTTAGCTTTTCCCATACCCCAAGTTGCAAAAACAATTGACTATCTGTGGTATTTGTATGTCAGAGCAAAACCAACAAGTAACTGATAACCTAAAATTAAAGGATTACATGAAAATAAACTCAAAAGATTTCATACTCTGCTTGTTTAGGTGAATGGTAGTGAATGGTACGGCTGAGAATATTAAAGTAAATAGTCCCTAAACTTTCACTGGTGAATAAAGTATCTCACTAAATAACCTTGCCATAACCCAAATTTTCACCTTTGCATAAAAACAAAACTTTTAAAATATAGTAGGTGACAAACTTTCTCAATTGTATAATGTCACTTCCCCTTTTCTTAAATACGTTATAAGGCAAGAGTCCTGAATTTGGGGACTACAGACCTGGGAGGAGAGAGTTCCATAAATAAGTGTCCAGGGACAGAAGCTCCTTGAAGCTACCTACAGAATTATGTAAACAGACATTAATCTTGAAATAAATGAGCTTCTCAAAGTGATCCAGAATTCATGAAAGCTATGTGATTTTTGATTAATGAAGGAACTCAGTGTTCGTGTGCTATTTTACCACCATTCTGGAGTACATTGATGTCCTCAGGACATATTAAGGTGAAAAAGTCTATTTTTCACAATCACAAAAAATTGCTCTAAATTAAGCAGTAACAGTCAACAATAGATTAGCCAGAGTCAAAATCACTGTGAATACAGTAACCTCTATTCTAAAAATTTATTTCTGGATATTCCTCAGGAGAATTGCTTTGCTCAAATTTTTCTATTAACAATACAGTTCTCAATTAATAATCAAAAGGCTATGAATTGTTAAGGAGTATAACCATATTGTGTAATACAGAGCAAAATATAGTAGATTCTCAGTAACTGTGCATTGACTATCGAAAGTTTAAGAAGAGACACTTTCTTATTTATTCTACTTTTAGTTCACACACACAAAAAAATGTTCCAAAGTTATTAGCACACATGAATACACCTAGGTTAAAAACTTCAGAGCTAGTGTTTCTTGTTTTATTGTTGAGGATAATAAAATCTCAAGGAAAATTTTCTAACTTCCTAAATCATTTACAATACTAAAGAAACTAGATCAACCATTTGAGTAAATTGGGACAAGTAAGTAAATGCCTTATTAAGCTTCATTTTCACCACCCAGAAGAATGGGAGTTGAGCAAGATATGAATCACCTGGTATCACTCAATTCTAAAATTACATAAACACATCTTGAAATTTTCTTAAAGTAAACTTTTGAAAAATTTAAAAGCATGACTCTCCTGCAAATAAAGTGATATGATTTTGTGACCAAAGTTTATTAAAGTGAACTTTTCAAAAATATAAAACCATGATTTCTATGCAAGTATAAAATGAACATGTCAAACATTTTATTAAGATAATTAACAAGGGAAACAATAATGCAGCAAACACTTTTCAAAGAGCATTTCAAAAGCTAAAAAGTTATGGCAATGTTAGGATAAGATTGCTAGACTAGTTATATAGACTGGTCAATGGAAAATAGGATGGTCAACTAAGACTTCAAGGTTTCTATTCCACCAGACAGAAATTATTTGCATCTCTTTGATATAAATATCAACAAGTCTACATCTGCCTTACAACACAGTTAAAGCCTATTCAATAAAAAAAATCAATATTGTACTTTATAGGAACATCCAAAGACTGTCTATTTCCTACTTTCAGATAGCTTTTAAGATAAGTCAAATAATTTTTAATGAATGAAAGTAATTCCTGATGAAATTTAAAGAAAAACCCCTTTATCATCTTTCTTTGACCTCTGTATAGTTTCTATATTTTGGTACTGTTCTGTGCTGATATAAACATTAGGATTTCAGGAAACTTTGTAAATGAATTTACACCTAAGTTACTTCATTCATTGCATACAAAGTAATGCATAGTTAAAGGTACAAAAGAATAAGTAAGCTATTACACAAACTCAGAGATTATAAATATGTAGAGGATGACTGTTTAATATTTCAATAAATTTCCCAAGTTCCTAATAAATTGAAAAGATATGAATCCTATAAAGAAAACGTTAAATATATTTGTAAGACAAAATCACCCCAAGTAAAGACAAGGATGCAAAAAATTAAATGTTCTCTTATAGTTTATGATGTCTGTAAACTGATTTGCATACCACCTAAGAAATGCTGCATGTCTACCAAGAGAAGTTATACAACTGCTGATGCTCTAAAACTATGCATACACAAACATAATCAAATAAAATTCTTGGTTATTCAATTTTTACTTTTATTGTAGATAAAAGTACCAAATCATTCTCTATTTAACTTTTGAAAAGAAACCCATCTACAAAAGAAAAAGCACACATCTTTAATTTCCAGTATGTTTATTATAGATTTTTAAGATATGGATTTGCTATCATATCATCAGCTTAAAGAAATGACACAAGAATAAGCTTTTGTGTATCTACCATGCTAAATTGTTCTATTTTAAATGAATCAAGTTATAAATAAACCACATAATGTGCTTAGAAGCCACATAATGTGTTTGTGAACCAACTATGACATATACTGGGTACTTCCGAAATGCTGAGTATTCTCATTGTTTTAGTAAGAGTATTATTTATTAAAATTAAAAGACTGGTCTGTAGTTATCCAATATTCAAAGAATAATGATGTATTTACTAATTATAAAACAAAATAAATTGTTAGAAACCAAAACTGTCTAAAATAAACATGTGCTCCTGGACCTTTCCTTTAGCACTAAGCATTTAGAGTATCAGCCAAGCTGCCCAAAGCAGTGAGACACAACATTCAAGGTTGCATCTAAGGAATCTGGAATTTCCACCACCAACTTCACCACTTTGAATAAAGATGATATATTCTATAAAAAGCATACTAAATGCAAATTATGTCACCTCAAGAAGACAAAGTAGCAGGCAATTTTCTGAATGTTTCTTTTCAATAGTTCATTCGAGCAAAAATTGTACCAAACTCTTGATAGGCCAAATTTTAATCATGTTGCTGATTCGTGAGTGAACAGCATTATAAAAGGCCTACATGCAGCAGTTGGAAGTGGAGACTCAGCAGCCGGCACAAGGTGCAAGTATGGGACCAAATGGAGGCACAGGGGGTGCCTAGGACATGCTGAGGAGACTGCGCCACTCACCCGGTATGACCACAGCTGACTTCCGAGACAGGAGACACCTACTATGTGAACACAATACATCCTCTCCCTGCCCCCTAATTAAAAACATCATTGAGGGAGCTTGGGGAGAATTACATGATTTTTAAATTTGTCCATATTTACTGTTTTTGTGCTAGTCATGTGCTTTCACTGAGGAGAATTTATCAGAGTCAAGTTTTTACTTTGTTCATAATCTCATATTAGCATATGCCAGGCAATAAACTTTATATGCTCAACATCTAGTCCCATTGTCAATATCAATAAAATTAGATTAAATATAGTAACACAGAATAAATTTAAAGAACTCCATTATTAATAAAGTATATAGAAATTATAGTATATCTTTTGTAAATATGAAAAAAAAAATTAAAAGTATCCTTTTAAAGCAATCCTTATAAGGACAATTTCAAATAAGAACTTCATGCTTTATAATTGCTTAATTTCTAAATCACTATATATAAATTGAACCAAAGTTAAAAAAATAAAACTACCTACTATTCAAATTGTCGCATTTGGATGGTTACCATATTGTCAACAAAATTAATTTATCAAAAGCGATGAAAAATGTGCTCTTGCTGCTCAGAAACAGAAATGGTAGATGGGTTATATACTAGTAGTTTCACAAATAATCTGAAATTTTTATTTAGAATTATTTTAGGCTCTGCTGTTGTTGCAGATACTGGGCTTCAGTTTTCCAGTGTGAAGTTGTAAGCGGCCCCAGGCTGCATTGGGTTTGTCTTAACATTCAGCAACAATCCAATGTCATGAACCACTCTCATTAGTATATGATCAAATCAGTCAAAATGCATGAGATATAGTTATTAAAGTTGTCAGTACCTCTGATTTATACTGTCCTAGGAAATGACAGGACAAATGACTTCACGAAGATAGTTGGAGTAACAACTGGAACCATTCTATACTATGTGTGAGGACTCAGGTGACATCCTCTTAGAGAAAAATATAAGCAAATATTTTAAGCAGTCTGCACATTTTTGACACTATGTGTAGTGCTTAGGTCCATTATATCCTTAACCACTAATGGTTAAGCTCATTATTTATGCATTCATCTGTACTGCCTCATTCCTAAATGGACTTATGGTCTGTGTACGTGATTTAAAAACAAAAACATAAATATATCTAGCTTTCTTTCCAGAAGATTCTCTTGTTATTCATTCATAGGTAATACTTTGGCCCCATGGGCATTGATGTAGGTGAGAAGAATTTTGGCTCTTTGTTCTATTACATCAATTAATTTGTCAATACCTTGCCTACCTCCTTGACTTTCCCAATAAACCTTATCAAGAAACAGAGACTGAAGGAGTTTCTGCCTTAAGTGCTGGCTCTTCAAAATAGAAACTGCAGATTCGGGAAACCTGAAAAGATAAAATGATATTTCATTCTAAGTAACTGCTTGAAAATATTACATTTTATCCAATTTCTCTGACCTTCATTAATCTGGCATAAATCACACTATCAAACGGTACTTTGAGAATCAAAACATTTTTGTCACTGTCAAGCCGACACCTCCCTGAATAATAATATACCAGAAGTATATGTTCAAAGCAACTGAATTTTCTTTACCATGTGAGAAACATGATACACTAACATCCTACTTAAGGTCATTAGATGTAGACAAAGAGAAGACCAGAATTAAAAAAAGATACTGATACCCTGATAAAAATACATTCCTCTATCTTAAGCTTCATTTTACCAAGAGAAGCCACATTAATCTGTCAAACTGAGTAGTATCCTCATAAGTGTCACAGTGTAATTTTATGTAAGAAAAGATGGGAAGCAAGAGGCTGACAATTTCAGTAAAGTACTCTACTTCGGAAGAAGCTACATGACTGAACTTAATGTCAAATAATCTAGAATGTGCATAGTAAAAAAGAGAATCTAAGCTAGAATTGCTTTTGATTCAGATTGTATCAGTAATTCTGTGGCTCTGGGAGCAGTTTATTAAACTAAAATATTAAACTGTTTTCTAATAAATTTAGTAAAATTCAAGTCTCTCTGGAAAAATCTAAGGCCAATTTAAAAGGTTTCTTGTTGAATTACATTAAGAGAGCACACTGTTTGCTTTTCGTCATTTAGAAAGCATAAAGTCTAAGCTCTAGTACTTAACGTTATCTGAAGGACTTAGTAAAATTTCTGGTAAAAATCATAACTAATGTTTTGCTGACTCTCCAGTTTGGTTTCCTCTAGATTTCATGAAGATACTGATGAAAGCAGAGTAGAAAAATATGGGGATTTAACAGTAATTTTCAAGTTTCTTAAAAACTAAAACAAGAACATCTATTAGTTTGAAGAGCATTGTTTACCAGAAGTTTCAGGCATTATAAGCACTTTTCTAATTTTCAAGCTCAGCATGATCTTGGGGAGCATGAGTGCCCAGGACCCCCGGTACCTCTAGTACCTCTGAAGCTGCAGAAAGACCAAAGGCCACAGGCTAGGCCTGCTAAATTAACTGGAATAGGTATGGGATTAAATCATGCTGAAAAGAAGCCCTAAGCTCCCTGAAGACATGTACTATGTAACTTAATAACTAAAGAATTAAGCATTATTTTTCTTTATGAACTATTAATAACCCTTGATTTACAAATTCTATGACCTTTCAAGTAACTTAATTGTGGCAGAAAATACGAGATGGCACTGTTAAATACATGGATCTCTTTAATAACTTTTCATAAGGGAAAATCAAAATATCACTGTCACTGCATAATGTCAATAGAGGTCTAACTTTCTGTGCATGAATCTGGGTTAGCAAAGTCTTCTTTTCAGTGTGTGAATTATAGTCAAAGATGAGTTCATTTAAAGCCTTTTACTTTTCAGAGTGCACTTAAAGTTAAATCTGCTTTGAAAAGCACAAATAAAACAGCATTCATATTTATATCAGTGGATGGAATGAATGAATTATATTCTCCAGGAACTCTTAATTCTAAGGGGAAATTTAGTAAGTCATCCCTCAATAAGTGATGCCCCAGGTATGTAAATTTTCCTAATCATAAAATTTCCTCAGACACTTGGAAGAATCTGCCATATACTCTGCATTTAATCACCAGAGATGTGAGGAACAGGTTTTAGTAGGGTAAAACACAGCAAAACTCATGAAATGGGCCCTCACGAAACCCAGAGCAACACTGTTATCTCCAGTATTAAAAATGTGTAAAATCTGCATTCTCTAATTTACAGTTCTTAAGTAGAATTATGGAAACGTGCTTCAGTGTACTACTAGCAAAAATGACAAACAGTAACAGCTCATGTACACCACCATTTACTGCAGAGAAATTAACTTAGATTTGAAAGAAGCAGCTTCTACATTCAACTTTTATTTATTTGTTAACCATGTTAAACTGCTCTGCCATAGGCTTACAGAAATGTTTGGGAGCCCAACTTCACCCCTCACCAAGTGCACACACTTCATTCACCCTCAATTTCAGATTTGTTTGTGTGCTTTCTGGCAGTTACTTAACTTCACAGACTTGTAAATCTCAAATATAGCCCCCTTTGCTCTGTCATTCTGATTTCTAATCTAGAGAGACAATGAAGCAGAGAAAATGAAGCAGAACCCAGCACTGCTATGAGCTGGGACCTGAAAGTTTTAGTCTCCAGAGGCAGGACTGAAGAGCTAGGATCCTATGTCTGGGTTCCTGCTACTAAGCGGTGTCATAGTTTCCTTTATTTCCAAATGGATGTAAGCGCAAATCTGCCACTGGCGACGCTCCCTTATATTATGGACCATTCTGAATATAGAAACATTTCTTCCCTATGGGCCTCCCTGGTGGCGCAAGGGATTAAAGCACAGCACTATGAAGCTATCCTCAAACACTGCAGCACGAGTTCAATCCCCAGCCAGGAAGCTAGTCTGCATGGAAAAGCAGACCTCTCCTGTCTCAACCACCACTCCTCTCAGCAGTGTATTTCAGTCAGTCCATCTGTTCTGCTCCCCACTCTGTCTCTGGTGAATCCTCTTATCTCCCCCACACCTCTGGCCTGCACCCCAGCTCTTGTATGCATAAATAAATAAATCTTTTTTTTAAAAGAAATATTTCTTCCCTAACCTCCACCAAACCTCCCTTTCATATGTTAAGATACTTTTTTCCCATAACCTATGTCTATTGGAAGCTTTTTCAAATATTAAAACTTCCTCCTACTTGAAACAGCCTCTGTCCTTTGATGCTGTGTTCTAGTCAACAGATTGGCTTTAATTTTTCAGCGCATTCACAAGTTGCCCAAGTCAATTATGACTTGGACACTCTGCCATGTCAATATCTGCATGTCTGCTTTCCCCCTCCTATCCTGTCCAGTGTCCTCATTAGAAAGACTCTGCCACCTGCTTATCCCTGCTCATCCAATGCCTATTCCAGAGATCCCTGCATGATTCCAATTTAACCCAAATAGATTTTCATGCTGAAGGCCAAACGACATGATAAATGTGAAATGCAGTGAAAGCTTTGTGTCGTGACTCCGTAGCTGGACTCTGGTTCTGTTCTGCTTGGCTTTGTTTCACTTTTCTAGGTTTCCCTCCCAGATCCACATCCACAATTCCCTTCAAGGAATAAATCAATCAGACAAAGGCTGTGCATTTTCCCAAAACCTCACTACGTAATTCATATACACGCAATGTCCTATAGATGCTACCTCACACAACTTACTCGTTGATTCCTTCCAGCAACTTGAAGTTTAAGTTATCTTCACTTCTGTCAAAGAAACCCTTGTTGTCTATAAAGACCAAGTGCCTTGAGTCTTGCTTTCGCTGAATGATGTGTGCTAGAGCCACAGAATCCTGTTTGTCACATTTTGGCCTCAGTCCATTCTGTACACAGGCATCTTCCTTCCGAGGTCTGAATCCACAGCAATTTGTATCTAAGCGATTATAAATCTGAAAATGAAAACAAAAACAAAATCCAAACTGCTGAGTATAATCAAAACTTGGGAAAGTTAGATTTCCAAAGAACTGGTGTTTCTAAATAGCTGACTTGCCAGAATCTAATAGGGCCAGGCTCATTTAATTAAAGGCAACTGTCAGAGTAAGCCCAAACTTCATAACCTTCTGACTCAGCTGTGTGATTATAAGCATTTCCAGCTTCTGCTAATAGTTCCAAAGCCAGGTTCCAAGCGAGGCATCATCATCCTTAACAGTCAAAGTTCCCACTGACATCACTTGTAGACACAAGGCCAGAATTTCTAACTCTGCTCAAGAAGATAGAAGCCATTGTACTTTTACATAGTTAAGAGGTTAGTCTTATTTTCTCCCTCAGATTGGGTCATAAAAAATCTGAGCTACTGGCACTAAGCATTCAGAGCATCCTCTAAACTCACTGGAACTCAGCACTATAGTATCAAACCTGAAGATGCACAAGCAAATCTACTGAAATGACATGGTATCAAAACAAGAAGAAGATAGCCACACACTATCCATTTGGAGTGCACAGCTAGATTCTAAAAGCGAGAATGAACCCAAATGTCAGACCTATTGAGTTTACTAAGGGGAGAAGGGGCTATTGCCTTATAGAAGAGGGAAAAAATAATTGTTTTCATGTCTTTGGGGCAAGGACAGAACTATTCATCAGGGTAAATTAAAGCCTAGGCTCAGGAATTAGATAAATAAACTCAAATTTCTGCTCTCCTGTTTATTAGACTTGTGACCTTGTGTGGATCCCCATGCATCACTTCCAGAGGAAAATGAAGTAGTCTTTCATTTTGCCTCCCAACCACTGCAAGCTAGGCAAATGAACCTTTCTCCCTGAATTCTGCAGGCAAGTGAACTTTGTATCTGAGATCACTCTCGAGAAGCAGGGATTGTAAGAGAAGTTAAGCACAAGACAATTTTCAATGAGGTTTATGTAAAAACAGTCACAGGGACAGGCGTGGTCACTGAGCCTCCAGATAACAACATGATCAGCAGACGAGGGAGACTGTCAGCACTGGGCCAGGCAACTGATCCAGGGGGCTGTACATCTAGCCCATGGTTCATCCACAAGGTCACACAGGCTGATTGCCGGGAAAGGTAAGTCACCACTCTTAGTGGAAGTATGTTTATGAGGCATGAAGACAGAAAAAGTTTTCCAAAGGTGAACAAGAATGTCCCACGCAAATCACCATAGGTTAATGAAAAAAAAGAATGAATTGAAAACTATTAGAAAAATTGATTGAACCCTTTGTCTTCAAACAATTTCATCCATGTTATGTAGTACCTTGACCACCTTTGTATAGAAGAGAAATCAGAAGAGATTACATCTGATTGCCAACTATTTAAGTTGAGGTCAGGGGGTTAGGGAGAACATGAAAAATAACCCATCTCAATGATAGGTTCATCCAGTCTCCCTTTTAAAAATATGCACTAGCTAATTTCAAAGGATATATCTGTGTGTCATCACTATCATGTTTATATTGTCATAATAATAATACCCATATAAAAAGAACCTGTTTAATTAGTTTCAAAATGTGATCTAATTTTGACAACACTGTCAAGTTCTATCATGTTAGGTAAGAATATTTAGAACTTAAGTTTTAAGGACAAATCCACCAAAAATTTCTCTGCACCCTAAACTCCTTTCTTGTTGAGTTCACAGTAGTGAGGAAAGGACAAAGGGGTGTAGCTACATTTCTACCAGTTCTACAACAAAATCATGAGTATTGTGTATACTAATACTAAACAGAGTTTAGTGCCTAACTTTAAATATCTTTGTAAATATTATGCTTTCCTATTTTTAATCTACAAGATGGAATTCAAAGGCAGAGTTGGAAAAGACTTACTTAGGTCATCTTTTTATTGCCTCTCCACTATTAGATTGTTTCCTACAGTGTATTTTTAAAGTGCTTTGTCTGATCTAAATTTGAATTCCCTCAACAGTCTGGGATGATTTCATCACTTCCCTGACAGACAATGGATGTGCCATTCAAGTCTAACAGAACTTATTGTTGAAAACGGAGGTGTGTACTCAGCTCAACTTTTCTAGAAAAGGTTTACTACTCCTTTTATCCAGAAGTGTGCTTGCACTTGGTAGGTGTGTTACCAGGTTTTGATTATGTGTATGTCTGTGTGTGTACACCTTTGGATGCAGAATGGAACTGTAAGATCTCAAATAATGTATTTTCTTTTTCTTATCTTCCAAAGATAATACATTATGTCTTTGTTTGATTGCCCTTGTCTAGCAAAGTAGCAACTCAATCTCATTCCCTAAGGCTTCTTAGAGATTTGTTTATAGTCCTCCTATTGAATTAAGATTCAATACACCAAAAAATAATTGATCACAAAGCCATAGCCCACTCCCTTAAATTCAGTGTCATTTTGGTTGGCATTTAACTTAGTTATCCAGTGTGTATGTTTCTGCTTACTTGTAAGAGAGTTCACCTGCTTTTTAAAGCCTTGCAAAACATATCTTAGACAGCCATGCATCCACAATGCGCCTTTAATATCTTTAGTGTGTACATTAAAACAATCATTTCACACAACTATTGCACAAATAATCACTGTAGCTCACACCTATGTGCCTATGTTCTTAGATAATTCACCTACAAAGGAGACTCTGGGGGTAAATTTTGTCATTTAAGGGATTGTGAGTATTCACATTACTGTAGTTTGTTCAAATGCACATCTTCTCATTCCTTAAAATAAGGAAAATCTTTTACAAAACTGCTATTCTGCATTTGAAATTACTGCCAACCATCATTTTCCATAAAATCACTCTTTCCACTTTTAGGAAAATATATCCTTTCAATGTTTACCTAACTAAAATTATACTCAGAAAAATCCAGGTGTTCCAGCCAAAATTTTTTTGTTGGTGGGATATTTTTAAACATACTTCCTTCAAAGTTTTTTTGTTTTATTTTTTAATTCCATTTTCCTTTTGGTAGAGCTAGTTTTGCTATAGAAAAAAAAAAATCTTGTGAGTGACTCAAGTTATGCTCCTATAGCCTAAACAATGAGGCCTGTGTGACATTAACTAGTCCCCCCAAATCCAGTAGAGATCCAATGATTTCCTGCTGTTCTGCAAACTACCTACGCTAGATGGGCCTTTGAAAAGTATTTGCCAAAATAATTGTTAGATTCTCTATAACTTCTTGTTCTTCAACGCAGTGCAATTAAGTGACTCAGTACAGGAAATGTCTGAGCAGGCAGTAAAGATTGTTACAGAAGTACTGTTAATATAAACAATGGAAAACATGAGTTATTTATTGAGTTTAGTATATGCCAGGAAATGTCCACTTAATGCTTTCTAAGTGTTATTTCATTTCATCCTGATAGCAATCTTAAGAGCTAGGTGTTACCAATAGTGCCACTTGGTCAATAAGAAGACAGAGGTACAAAGAGGCTGTGTGACCACCTCAAGAGGTACAAAGAGGCTGTGTGACCACCTCAGCTCATAAATGATGGAATTTGGGGTTCTATCCCAAGCCCTTCAAAATCTATGCCCTTATCCAGCCTGAATGTCTCTCTGGGGTGGCACTCAAAAAAACAAATGCACCGTATAGGATACTGAATGATACTAGACTCAATAAATACTTCCACCAAAAGACAAAGGACTTCAATGAATGTTGATGAAGGAGAGGATATTGTATTTGGGCTTTAGTAGATAGTGTTGGCCCAAAACACACACAAACTCACACACCAACACACAGGCAAGTAGTTGAATGTAGGAAACCAAAGGTATCATTAGGGAAACTCAGAGTGTATTACACCTCTCAACTTTCCTGCTGTTCAAGACCAGTTACATTTGTTTTTTATCCTTTCCCCCACAATTCCCGTGGACTCTTGTTAAAAGGAACAGAATTTATTATTAGAGAAATGAAATTTTTACAAATACAAAATACCAGCCAAATATGTTGTTAGGTTATTGAATAGACTCCATCAAATTGATGCCTATGATTCTAAACAGCTATTTGCAATTTTTGTATCTACATTATCATAGACTTATATGAACAGGTAAACTTCCATGGATGGTACTTTGGGTAGCAGAGTGTGAAGGGGTGAAGTGAAAACAGGTAGTCTGAGGGTGAAGGGGAAGTGAAAGCAGGTAGTCTGAAGATAAGGTGAAAGGGGCATTGTGCCTACAAGGAGAAACATAAATATCAACGAGTTTTCAAGTTTCACTACTATTTTCTCCTGTAGAATTGGAAGAAAGGTCAAAGGAAAGTAAGCAGGGCATTAGATTAAAATATTACAAGAGTGGATCTTCCCTGGTGGCAAAACAGGTTAGGTCACAGCACTGCAAGCCAGCTGCAGCTGCTTCAGTGTGAGTTCGATCCCCCCCACCCAGGAGGTGACCCATATGACACCACAGACCTCTCCTTATCTGCCCGCTGCTCCCCTCAGCAATGTACTTCATCGATCTGCCTCCCTGCTCCCCACTCTGTCTCTGGTAAATCCTCTCACCACCCCTGCACCTCTGGCCTGTTTCTTAGTTCTGTATGCATAAGTAAATACATCTTTTAAAATAAATAAATAATAAAATGCTACAAGAACAAAAGCTTAAGGGAACCAAGGCCAATGAACTTTAAAGTTAAAGAAAGTAAAAGGAAAATGTTCCTTTCTAAGCTGGTAGAAATTCCCTTTATCCAAACTCTTTTGTCATTCAATACCACAGTTAAATTACATAACCCTGCATATGTTTCTATTTCTGTTTTTCTACATTTCTCTGTGGGTCTGAGTGTCTATGTGCTGTGCTTGCATGGGAGCATTTCATTTGGTATGTCAATATTCTGAGAGTTTCAGCATCCCTTTTCAAGTTATTTGTTGTTACCATCTGCAAACTAAGCCTTTATAAAAAAAATTTCATTTTTAGAGAAAGCTTAAATTATGCAGAAAACATATGTTGAGTAGAACTGAACAATCATCTAATGCCTGGCACAGAGTAGGCAGTGGATTTATTAAAAAGA